GATAAATGTCACCATAAATGCAGTTTGATTTCAGTTAAATTGTAAATATGTTACTTAATAAGACAATTCAGAAGCTATAGGATAATTTTTTACTACATTTAAGATACTGACAACTGGAGCCTAAGTGGCAAAACATTATAATATCAAATGTAATGTATACAATGGATTTTAGTGAAGTCAAGATAATTTTACAAAGGTTGTTAGACAACGTGCTAGCTATCAAATCTGTTATTCCTGGATATCAAATACTAGATGGCTTGTAAGCTATATGTAAAACCAGCAACTTTGCAAGCTTCACACTATGAGCTATGGAACATAGCAGTCTACTAATTTGACTGTACGAACTGATTACATCTCATTGTATATTTTACACAGTATGATCACTGGGAAATAGTATAGTCTTGTAGCCATCTACTTCTCAGTAATCCTACTGAAAAATATTACTTTTAAGTAATTCCCCCTTCCCCCAAAGGTTTGTAATGATTGTAAAGTAATGATACAGTAAATAGAACTGCAACTGTAAACTGCTTCACATAATCTGTATGGTAGAGTCTATATAAGTAGACAATTTGGTTTGTTAATTTGTTCTCAGTCCTAAATATAATAAAGTATAAAGTTGTTACATTCTTAGCAAGTCTAACCTTCCACAAATTTGTGATTCATTGGAGATAAAGCATTTTGAAGGAATTGCTGTTTATGTCTTTTAAAAAAATGTACAAATCAACAACAAATGTATGCGACCCACATAAATTATTTATTTTAATATATTGTTTATTGGATACTGCAAAAATGCAGCCAAGCCTAAAATATTGTACATAACATATTTCTCATTCTGATGTGACATCAATTATTGCTAATATTTCTCTTAAATTTTTACAGATTTTTGTGCACAGGACACATTTAGCTATAGTTCAAATGTGAAAATAGTTTTATGTATGAAAGATAAATATAAAATCTCCTTCAAGTCATGGGCTGCTCTAGGTAACTTCATGGATATAGAGAATATGGAATTGCCTTGCCAAAAATATTAGAGTTTGTCATTATCTTCCATTTTACCCCTTAGTCTAGGTTATAGTTTCTGGGTTTCTGGGTGGTCTCTCTTATCCATGTACTAATCAAAGTTGACCCCAGTGCTTTTTTTCTAAAAAAAAAAAAAAAAAGTGCCAGAACTCACACATGTCATACAATCCGCCTTGCCTACCTACAAGGTTCCATCCAAAAAAGGTGCTGGAACTCTGTTCTGGGCGTTCTACGACAAAAAAAGCCCTGTTTGACCCTATCAAGTTTTTTTGAGATCAGCCAAGGTTGACTAGGTTCTATGATCAAAGTGTGAGAATCTACAAGAAATCTTGAATGTGTATATACTTTAATAAGAGGAGCAAGCAGTGCTGGCTTTCTGTTTGTTTTCAAAAACATTTTAAAATTCTCATTTTTTGTAAATTCTGGACTTGATGCAAACTAACAAATATTTTGTAAAATGATCTTCAAAGTACATTCCAAGAAAGTCACTATCTCTTACTTTAATTATTCAATATAAATCTATAAAATCCTGCTTTACAGATCTAAATCTATTTTAAAGATTTAGAAACTGTTTTGTGGATTATTATAAAGAAAAATAATGTGTATGAATCTGTTCCAAATATTCATTTACATAACTGGAATATATATACTGGCATAGTCAAGGCAGAATAAGGATAAAAATTTCCTGCTATAGACCTCAGCTATAAATTACATATAGGCCATTTTCTATTATCTGTTTTCTGAGATCATTAACAAATGTAATAAAACAAGTTGTAATACTATCAACGTTATACGGAAAATCCACTGAAATAGCATTTCCATGAATGTGTGTATAAAATTGTTAACTACTTCTAAAGAATCTAAAAAATATATTTAAAACTATATGAATACTGGTTAATTGAAGTCAAGCTTGAGGAATCTTGAGTTCATATATATGCATATATGTGACAGTGATAAATTGCATTCCTAAGAAGCGTAAGTTAACAATATTTACAGTAGTATTTTATCTGGTTTATTTCAGTTATAGTATATTTCTACACATCTACAACTAATACTTGAGTGCAATGAAAATATATGAGAGTATTAAAAATTCAAACTGTAATTATGGAGTGTTATATTTACTAACTATGCCACAGCATACATCAAATATAGCAATTTTCCGTGACTACCAGTATCCTAGCTTTTGACTAGCAAAGTTCTTGGACAATTGATTCTTACTTTATTATAGAAGAATTAACAGTAATTAACAGTACATAAAATAACATTAAGTGTGTGCATTTTATTGTTACCAATATTAGAAAGACACTGCCTTTTTGCATAAAAGCTAGTACTTTTGCCAAGATGAAGCCTTTTCTTATCACAAACTAAATTATATTTTTCAGCAATGTAATGCTACAAAGAGACACATCATACCTGAATCTCATTGTGAATATTAGCTTCTCTGACATTTCCTTAGTTTGATCTATATCATAGTATATAACCTACAAACACATTAGGATCCAGTAAACTATTACTATAGTTACTATATTGCAGTTTATCTATAACCATGAACAGAAAACAAAATATTGGAATATGAACTATTTTTCACAAACTGTCATTTGAACAAAAGAGTCCCTGGCCCAGAACAAATTAAAACATCTTTAAAGCTATAAATTCATAGCCATTCAAGTGAAACACTCAGTATTTCAAAAGTAAATACAGCTATAAGAAGGACCAAAGCAATGGTCAGGAGTTAACACAGAGAAAACACCATGCCATCTTGTGTCCTTTAGTGGTTTATCATAACACCTGCACCACCCTTCACCAAATGAGACTTAGCCGTAGGCTGTATTTAAATATGCATATCAAAGCAAGCAAAAAATAAATCTTGAATAGCAAACTGGAGAAATGCTCATGTTTATCCATTTTAAGTGTAAGGTAAAAATCCACAAATAAACAAGTTTATTCTAGATTTTTGTATATGCTCATTAAAATTGTAAAATGCATTATTACTGATTATTAATAAAGTATTACACTTTATATTAATATGTATGCATGAATGTATGTATACATTATTATTATCTGTACCTTTATCAAATGTATCCTTAGGGTGATGTTAACATACATATCTAATAAGGCACAATTCCCAAATGTACCTCAGTGATATAACTATTAATTTCCCAGTTGGTGTTCTGGTTGCACAAATTATTAGTTCCTTCAAAAAAGTATCAGGAAACTAAAGTAAGAATAGTAGAACCCAAATGTCTAGAGCCCAATGTCCTATTATTTAAATAAATTTTAAATAATTATAACAATGAAAGTGGTAAACCCTGACAGGTTTAGAATAGGCTAAAACATTTGCTTAAATTTGCTGTTTTACTATTGGAAGGGTTGGAAAAGATTATTTTCTATGAAGATGGTTATATTACAAAATGTGAAACCTCATTTTATCACTGTAGTTGAATTTGGATATTATAAAAGAGCACTTCAAAATGGTTTGAGCACTCACCATCTGCTAAAGCCCCAAACAGTATAGTTTAGGTAATCTCCTTTAATATAAACAACAGCAAGCCCATTTCCACACTTCCACTTAAAACAAATTTACACTAAAAATGTTCTGGGAAGATATGCAATATTTTATATATACATATTTGGCTCTTTCAGGATGTCTGCCATTTCAGGTCTAATGATCCCAAAAAGTTATGTATGCCCCAAATATTTAAACAATAAATATTTTTGAAACTATGATATTGCTTCATAGACTTTAGTACCTATAAATGATATAATAGAACTTTGAGGGAACATTCAGTGTTTCCTTGCTTATATGCTTTGATAGCAATAATTATAAAATGTCATGAAATCTGGACCTGGAGATTTCCAAAGAAACAAAACAATTATATTTATTTAAAGATAGAAATGGTCCATAACAAATTAGTACTTTTTTCTGTTGTTAAGTATTGTCAACAAATATAAAACAAAATCAAATATTTAACTTTCTGCCAACATATTTTAAAAAGAAAAAGAAAAGAAATAGAAAATATTCTTTATTTTGTATCTACTTTTCACAGCAGACTAAAAACTTATTATAGATTCTTGTACATAGCATAGTAATCCCTCCGTCACATGTTAGAATAATGTTCCTGCTATGCTATTTTTAGTTTATACCACTTGTTTTATGAAGTTATTTACAATGCCTATGTAAACTCTCCTCTCTACACTCTTAGAAATAAGCTATTATTCACACTTGAACACTATGTGTCTATTTATACATTTCTAAAGTAAATAAACTTATTACGTAAGTATGTAACAGGTTTCCATAAGCAGTTCTATAAAGCATAACAGCTCATGTAAAGTGCCATTCCCAGACATATTTGTGCATATTCAACAAAAACAATTCACTGAGCTACTACTAAAGTGTTAAAACCAACAGCTAATGTGTAGTTACTCAGTCATAATTATTTGCAGCTTCTAAAAGATATTGTAAATAATTGGTATCTCAAGATTATTGAAATTTATTATAAAGCTTCAGCCACTTGGCAACATGTGCAAATTTCAGTGATATATTGCAATAGAGAAAGTAGTGTTATTATTTATAATTTTGGTTCAAAATAGTACACAATTGCTAATAATTCTGCCTGGATAAAGTATGGAGGAAATCTCATTTTTAAATAACTGAATAATTTCAATTTTCTTTTTTTCTTTGTTATAATAATAACAGCAAGGGTCATAAAGCAGAAAATATTGCCTATTTTACTAGACAGTTTGTCAACTCTTCAATTTGTCAATGTTGTAAACTTTACAAGACAAAACTTAAACTTCTAGGTAATAAAATACAAAGGAATATTCTTCCACCAGAAACCTAGATTTAAACAGCTCTATAACAGGTAACATAGGTAAACAATTTCAACACATGGGTGATGGTAAGAAAAATCCTTAATTAATAACAGTCCAGGAGTTTACTAAATGGATAAGAGCCATTACAAATTATTGAAAAGACTTACATGGTCAGCTAAATTTGTGGATGATCCTGAGAGTTCTTCATGGTCAGATTTGGAGCTGCCATCTCTTTCATCAATAACTAGGTCTATGGGCATTTTGCCTTTCAGACAGCTAATGTACCGATGGCAGAAATTATCACACAATTCATGAACCTGAGTGTAACATTTAAGTAAAAAAAGAGAAAAAAAACAGATGCATTTTTAAAAGAGAGAGAAAACAAAACTTCTAGACTGCAACTTGATCTCCCCCCCACACACACACACAATTGCAAAAGAAGCACTGTGATCTATTCCAAGAGTAACTCTAATTAAGAGGCATATAGCTGAAGCAAGGAAACAATAGAGAAATTGTTACAGCACATATTATTCCCCAGAGACTTGCTTGAGCAACAAGTTGGGGAATGCACAGCTATTAAATGTTAGCCTATTCTATAGATAGAAGAAAATCCGATTTAAGGATATTACCAGAAGCACTGAGATCTGGATAAATAAAACATAAAAACATAGGCAGTTCAGTCAAGAAAAGTGAAGGAAAGGATGTGGTGAGAGAACAACATAAATATTTTGAAATCTCTCGAGAAGGAGAGAACTTTAGTATAAAATAATTTTCTTGTACAATTTAGCCTTTTCATGTGATCCATAAGATGTTGAAAACAGGGGGGTCTATAATCATGCTAAATAATTTGCAAGAAGGAACCAAGACAGAGAAGGAGAGGACATAGCAGATACTTGAATGGAGATAGGAAAGAATAGAGAAGTTGGGAGGGTGAGGGGGGGGGAGAGAGGTTTAGGGGAAAAAAAGAAAAAGAGCCATGCACTTTTGGTTTAGTGTCAGGATGTGTTTTGTACCAGTTACAGTGTCCTTTTGAATTTCCCCAAGGGCTGTAGGAAGGCCAGGGCAGAAAAAGGGAAAGGAAAAGAGGGAGTGCCCCCTTGCTCTTACCTTTTCTAATTCCAAAAGGTGAAACCTTAAGACTTGTATCGCTTGTATCATCTGAAAGAAAACAGGGAGCAGAGGAATTGTCATATAAGGGAGAGAAGAGGCAAGTCAAGGAGTGGGGGATTGTCAGGGCACGCTCTCATTATCCAGGATTTTAGCTCTTTGGACACGCTTGGGCAATTTTGATCATCAACTTTAACCTAAAGCACTTGATTTTTTTTTTTTAAAAAAAAACATCAAATCACACAAGCGCGCGCGCGCGCGCGCGCACACACACACACACACACACACTTAAAGAAAAACAGTGATAAGTGGTTTGCCAAGATGTCATCCCCTGTGGTTTTTTTAAAGTCTGCAAACCAACCAAGTGCTAAACATCCACTCACCACTCCATCCGTTTTTTTTAATAAAGAAAAAACAAAGAAAGCAAGGTGGAATGGCTTCAAATGAATGATCTGCCTTCAGCTCTTTTTTTCCAAGTGGATTCCCAGTACTTTTAATAGTAAAATTAGTCAAATTAGCAAAAGAATCACAGTCAACAACTTCAAACTCTTTGCTGAAGCCAAGATTTCCTTTTCTTTTGCTTCTCAGGGTTTAAACCCATCTCAAGTATCTGTTGTCCTCCCCTTTCTATGTCAAGAGTTTGAGTTCCTTGAAGGCCCTGCTTAAGAATAATTTCTTTTTCTTTCAGATTCTTGGCACCTCTACAAACATTTCTCCAAGTCCCTCTTCGTATTAATTATTTTATTTTAACCAAGGCTAAGCACAAGTGGGGTCTCCCAGAGCATAAGAGGTCAAAACAAAAAACAGACAGGAAGAACCTTACCAAATTATCCAATTCTGGATTTGAAGAAAAAAGTGGTTTTTCTGCCCGAACCTACATGGGAGGGGGGAGGGGGGGAAAGAGTGAGTAGGATTCAGTGTGTATTTCAGCTACCTTAAATACCTTCCTATTTGTTGAGCCTGTGACCCCACCCCACCTCACAGTCTAATTGTAACAGATCAAAACATGAACTAGTTGCAAGTTCTTTGCAATGCCAAAGAGACAGTTGAAAACTTAGGCCACTCAGGGCCACCACCATTCTTCCTGTCCCACACAAGCTTCCTTCTCACCCAGTTCGCAATTTCAACCGAGGGCTGAGAAATGGGCCTAACACCTCTTGAATGCATCTCCTTCTCCTCTCCCTCCCCCCCCATCCCCTTTAACAATGCCCCCTTCCTGTGAGCCTAAGGGAATCCTAGAAGGTCTCTCAGCAAATCTTTCTTGCCTACAGAAGGGAAGAGGAAAATGGGGATGATAGAGAGGTGGCTGAGCAGAAGGGAAAGGCACCCAGACCCAGCTTGCCCGGAACATTTTCCCTCAGATACTCCAAAGCTCCCTCAGAGCAAGCGCCGCCCTCCCCTTCCTTTCCCCAAGGCCTGAGGAGCAGCAGGCCTCATCGCGCGGGCCCCGGGGGTGCCTTCTGAAGGAGGGGGGGGGTCTTTGGCGTGAGGTGTCGCGCGCTCAAGGAGGGGGGCAGGGTGTGCGGGGAAGGGGCGGGGAAAAGCTGAGAGGGAAAAAGAGTTCGACCTGTTTGGCGAAGACGGCGATGTCCTCATTGAAGGAGTCGGAGGAGCAGACGTCTCCGCCGGCCACCCCAGGCTCTCGGGGAGTGCAGGTGGCGAGCTCGCACTTTTCAAAGACCAGAGCTAACAGAGGGAACAACGGGTGCCTGCCGGGCGATGACACACAAAGAAAAGGAGGGGAGAACGACATTAAGAGAAAAACGAGAAAGGGGAGAACAGAGAAACCTAATCAACAAGTTTCTTTCCCCGGTCAAAAATAAAAGAAACATAACGTGGCTAGACGCGCAAGTTTACTTGCCTCAGCCTTCCCATAACTAAAGGAAGGGACATCACAGAATCAAACGTAGAAAGTAACACAACGCATGCAGACGTCTCCCCACAAAAATCCTGGGCCAAAACCGAACTCCACAAAACCCATGTGCGCCAACAAACACAATTACCCAGCCCCAGATTCCGCTGTGAGAGTCCCGCAGTTTTTAACCTAGCAAGGAAACGAGCAGACCCCTCGTCCCCAAGCCACGGCAGTACCAAACGCGGAAAGAGTTGATTTTTATCCAAACTATGAAGTCGTTTCATATTTTGATGAGAAGTAACAAGAGCCACGCTATCTGGGAAGGAGAGGAGAGGAGAAAGAAGGGGATCCCGGGGCGTCCAGATTAAATATCGACTGCCCCGTCATAAAAGAGAAGAGGACTGAATAAATTCCCCTCCATTGTCCGGCCAGATACTGCCTGGGGGTCAGGGTCTAGCTAGGCGGTACGTGCGTTAAAACAGTAACTCCTTTTCCTAAATCTTTCGTCCTAGTATTAGTTGGGTCGCAAGGGCTGTTTTTGCATGCTTTAAAGAAGGAAAGAAAAATGTCACCTAAATAAAACTTTGCTGAGGAGAACACATTTCCCACAATCTTCCCATGCCGTCACCCGGCTTTGTTTTTAAGGTCTAACCCACATTTTATTTGGATTAATTTTGCATTCACAGAGCAACGTCTAAATAAATAAACAGCACAATCCCCGCTGATTTCAATAAAATTTGCATGTGTGTAAATGAATCTGGGGAAACCAGGCTTTCTTTTCATTTCTGAGAGACAAAAAATGCTTTAAAAAAGCTCTTAAGTAACTGCCTTAAAGATTGGGCTGTCCGAAGAATGGAGCAGCTTAGCCACACAGCTTTTCACTAAAATCTGAACGCACTTCCAGCGCGTCAAAATACACGCCCGTCAATCCCTGCATCCTCCGTGGAATTTCTAGCTGAAGTTTCCCATATATTTGTGTCATTTTTAACTTTATACACCTAGAGTGTTTTTATTACCTACAGAAATGCCGAAAGAGAATATTGATCTATAGTGACAAATTACACGTGCCCTCTAGATTTCAGGAAGAAAACCCGAGGAGGATTTTAGGAAGGGGGGTTTGTTTAAAAAGCACTACGGTTTCTCTCCAAAAAATCTCGTGCCTGCCTGCCTCCCTCCTTGTGCAGGACGGCTATTCCTCTACTCTCTTTCCTGAAAGAGACGGTCTCTCCGGCCTTTCGCACATACATACACACACCGAAATACATATATGCTGCAAGGAAAGGGCCACAGCGCCTGGCTTGCCTTGCTTTGTACCTACCCATAGATTGCATCCTTGTCCCGCTTCAAGGCGTCATTGACAGCCGATCCCATGCTGGCTGGCATGACATTGGGGTGCGGGGCATGGGCTCCATAATGCTGGCTGGCATGCAGTGGCGGCCCGTGGTTCAAATGGTGTACTGGGGGGATCGGCCTGGGGGCGTGAGGGTCTCCATACATGGAAGCAGGTACCCCTACTCCGTCCATCCCGCCGTAATGAGGCAGCTCATCGTACTGTCAAAAAGAAAATGGGCCAGAAAAAGGAAAGAAATAGAGCCAGAAGAAGAGAGAAAGAGGAAAGCGAGAAAGAGAAAGGGAGTGAAAGGGGGGGAGAAATAAACAAAAACAAAACAAAAACAACAGAAGTCAGAAGAGAGTAAAGCACCCAGGCAAGTCAGACAAAACAGAGCAAAACTACAAACCAAGACCAGCCACAACAGAGAGAAAAGCGATACAAACTGAAATCAAAATAAAAAGTGCAGTCGACAGAGCTGGAGGGGGGGAGGGCAAAGGAAGAAGGGGGCAAGGAATGTGTGTGTGTTTGTGAGCCGGTTGTGGGGAAAGCTGCTTCGAGGGCAAAACACGGGAAGGGGAAGTGTGAAAGGGAAGAAGGAGGAAACCGTTTACGAATTAGAGGAAACGGGGCCACAGATAAACTAACACCCCCACCGGTAACCAGATTAACGCTACGGAGTAGGAAGGGTAAGCAAGGCTGAGAAGGGAAAGAAGAGCGCGAGAGAAAGGGAGCAAATAATCTGAAAGTTACCAGAAACATTATTTAGTCGCGATTCCCCCTCGTCCTTGTCAAAATCAGAGACAAACTAAGCAGCAAATGTAGCTGTATTTCCCAGGCAGCGGCAGCAACAGCCACAGCAGAAGCGGCGGCGGCGGCGGCAGCGGCGGCGGCAGCAGCAGCAGCAGCAGCAGGCAAACCTTCCCCCCTGTAAACCGCGCGCCACTGAGCAGTTAGAGAGGAGCAGGGAAATCGCGCTGTTGGGGGAAAAGCTACAGAGGAAAGAAGCGTGGAACAATTGCACACGCACGCACACACACACACACACACACACACAGAGGGAGACACACACACACACACACACACACACACACACACACACACGCACGTAGAGAGAGGGAAAGAAAGAGAGACATAGAGGCACACGCACACACAAAACTGGTGAATAATTTTTGCTGCTATTTGTTTTGTTTCTCTAAATAGTGGCCGCCATGAGCAGCAGCAACAGGGAAGAACAAATCCGACAGGCCCCTCCTAAGAAAGGATTTATACGTAAGGTAAGTGTTGGAGATTTAAACCTACCCTTTGCGCCATCAGTCTGCGCTCCAATAAACTCCGGGATGTGTCCTATATTTAATATCCCAGTCCAGTAACACCACCAACAAAGTGACTGAAGAAGAAGGAAAGGAAGAAGAAAAATCCCTTTTCCCTTGTTTCTCCGACCCACTTATAGAGTTCTCCAATAAGCGTAAATATTCATAAAGACAATCGTTATAAACAATAAAAAGTAGGGAAAAATAAACCACGTAGAGAGTTTGTCTGTTTTCCCCGCGTGCTCTTCTTTATTTCCCTTTTCTGTGCCTTTCCTTTTTTTCTTCTTTTACGTGAAAAAAAATATGATGGTAATTTTTTTAAAAAAAATAAACATAAAAGTCGTCAAGCCCCACACTGAAGGTTACGATCGGCCCGTCAGCAACCCACATGTAACCAAACTGTCGTGTCTCATGGCTTTTTGCCACTCCAGCTGTCAATCAAAGCCATGGAATGTCAAGGTAGTGAATGAATGATGGCTGATGATGATGATGAAGAAGAAGAAGAAGAAAAGAGGAATCTTTTAACCTCGGATTCTTTCTCAGTAAGTCCGCGTTTGGGGTTTGCTTGTAGGAAAGCTATAGGTTCTTTAAAAAAAAAAAATAACTACCGGGAGGGGGGAGGGTGGGGTAGGATGCGAAGAAAAATGGAATAGTTTGCAAAACGTGGACTTCCTCCGTTCTTTTTGTGTGCGTGTGTATGTGCGTGCTTGTGTGAGTGTGTGTGTGCGCGCGCGTTGCTTTCCCCCCCCCTCCCGGTAGGTATTTTGCCTCTTCACCTCTCCCTCTGAGATGAGTGAGTGTCAGTAAGTGTTGGCAGGTTGGCTGCTGGCTGGCTTATAGAAGAGGCTCAGTTTTGCGGCGCTGATCGGCGGGAGAATGAAATGACGGAACCCGGAAGTAGTGGTGGCCATAGCCAGTCCTACAAGAGAGACACACATACAAGGGAGAGGGAGAAGAGAGCGCGGGCGAAAACGGGCGAGCCCAGCTCGCGCTTACAGTCTGCGATATGCAGAGTGTGCAATCAGGGCTGTTTCCACGCCACCCGGGGTGGGGAGGCGGGGGGCGCGATGCACCGCGTTCAGAAATCTCAACCAAGCCGGGTCGCCTTTCCGGATAGGCGCGGAAAAGTGGAAGGATACAGAGGGAGTCTCGGGAGGAGGAAGAAGAAAACGAAGGAGAAAGAGAAGAAGCGGGAGAGGGAGCAAAAAGAGGGGGGGGGAGAGAGAGATGGGCTGCCGGGTGCGTGCGTGCGTGGGAACTGCAAACAGCCCGAAAGGGGGGGGGGAAGTATCCTAGAAGCCTAGATCTGTTGCTTTTTTTTTTTTAATGGAGAGATTTTTTTTTATTTTTTTTTTTACCCTTCGAGGTCCTCGTTTGCCTGGCCGTGCTGCTTAGCCATCTCTTCGCCTGGTGTTTGTTTCTCTCTTCTTCGGAGGGTAACTCACAGCCCCGCGAGGGTTCAGCGTCCTGGAGACGAGCCGAAGGAACTCGGGGCAGTGGCGAATGTTTGGAAAGAGGTGCGGGCAAAGTTGTTTTGCCAGCGGAAACTCCTAGCCTGCCTTAACAAAGTCCGCCATCCTTGTCAGTAGAGTGCATTCAAAGAGCTGCCTGCGCCGCGCGTTTCCTTCTCGGTGTAAACTCGCTACCTTTCGCGGTTGATGTTCCTCAGGATAATTTTCCCGGAGGAGAGCACTCCAAGCTTCGCACCCTTTACTCTGTGCTCGGTTCCCTCATCGCCGCTGTACGAGGCGGGGGTCTTCGCAGAGGAATGAGAGGAGAGAGGGGGGTGGAGGAGAAAGGAAAAGGCATCCTTTTAGGCTGGGTTTAGTCGCTGCTTGGGCGTTACAAAGCGAAGGCAACAATTCCCCTCTTTTTCTGCCTTTTATTCCAAATTGTAATATATACATTTTAATGCACTTTTGATAACTGGGACTAACCCGTCCTTCTGATGCCTTCCTGAGCTTGCTTTGCTTGTTCTTTTGTAGAATTCGTATTCCTTAACTGGGGAGGGGGGGGTGTTATTAATATTCTCTGTTCAAAACAACGTAAAGTCACAGCTATTATTATAGGTACCATTACACTAGCTGCAGCGGTTACTCTGCAGAACTAGTGCGAGGGTGCCCTCTGGTTCCTAAGACCAAGTGAACTTTTGAAAACACACCCAGCAGACTTTCGCGGCCCGTCTCTCCCGCTTCCCCCCCCCCCCACAGGCACTCACAAGCTCTACCTACCGCGTTAATTTTGGTGAGGGGTGTGTGTGTGCGAGTGTGTGTGTGTGTGCGTGCGTGCGTGTGCAGTCTCCTCCAATCACTTTGCTGGAACTGAAACATGCCTTACCTCAGAGCAGTCAATTACTAAAGCTACCCGAGATCATCAATCATGGGGGAATGCTTCAAGTTAAGGGGGAGGAGCAATGGTCAAACTATTGATCGCTGCAGTTTTGCACTCTCTCTCTCCCTCCCTCCTGCTCTCTCTCTCTCCCCACACATAAAATCTAAACCAGACTGTCCTGGTAATAGTGGGACTTATCAATGATTATGAATCTACTTGTGAATGTTACGTCCTCGTACATACGTGCCGCGGCGGCGACGGCAGCCCCGCATTTAGACTGGATTCCGGCGAGAAAAAGAGAGTGTAGGAGAGGGACTGGAGAGGACCGTTCTTAAGGGCAGGTCACGGGTGTGTGTGTGTGTGGGGGGGGAAGTTAAGGAGGAAAAGCGAAATCTGCCGAAGGGACGGGAGGGAGGACTCTAAAAACGCAGCCAGTCTTTCCTGGGCTAGGGAGCCAGCTCCCGAGGTCAACGAAGCTCTCCAAAATGATGAATGATTGAGTACCTGCGATGATGATAGTGATTACCGGAGCAATTAAACAGTTTGATTAAATGAGCCATCATAACAACGCTGTCTGCGGGATATCAGCCCTCGCTTATAAAAAAAAGATAGAGCAGAGAGAGAGAGAGAGAGAGAGGGAGGGAGAGGCTGAGGAACGCCACTGGGGCAACGGCTTCGCTTCCCGGGAGCGCTTAGCTTGGCAAGCAGCGCAGCTTGAGCTCAGCCCCCCGAACGGGCAGGCGAAAGAGCTGGAAAAGAACTGCCGAGACTTTTAAGCCTGACCTGCGCGCTCGTTTGAAGCGCCGAAGGGGGGGGGTGGGGGTGGGAAGAGAGAAAAAAAAGGGGGGTGTCTGCTTTTGCTTCTCCCTTCTCCGCTTCTCCCTTCCCCGCTTTTCTTTTCTTCTAGAAGACCCCTTCCAAGATTAAAGCGATTCTCCGAAGCAGCCGCTACCCTCTGTGGCTGATTCGCCCGGCTCTGGGCAGAAAGGTGAGTAAAACCGCCCTCAGTACGTCCGCTTTCTTTTCAAGTTGCGTTTAAACCGGTTCCTTTTAAGAAAAAAGAAAAAAAAAGGGGGGGGACTTATTCGGGGGCGAAGGGGGTGGGTGAGTCGTCCTACCGCATTTTCTTCTCTGTCGTAGAAATCGGCAACGCGCTTCGAGACCTTCTTGGTAATGAATACTTGGCTAATCCTTTGGGTGCCCGGAGACCTATAGAGCGAGCAGTGGGTTATGCAAATCCTTTCCTACTTTTGCAGCTGAACCTTTCTAAGGGATTGCTTTAAAAAGAGATCTACTTTGGTCAGGAATGGACTTTGTGAGGTCTCTCTCTCTCTCTTCCCCCCCCTTCTCCTCGCCTGTTTCCGAAATTGCCATTTTCCTAAATTCCTCGGGAATCACATTGTTGCAATGTCGTCAACCCACTTCCTCATTAAGAACACAGTTTTTAAAAACTGTTTTCTATTAAAAACAGAAGGGAAAAAAAAACCCATACCCGACCAGGGCTATATTTATCTCAGTTTAGATCGGTTTAGGTAGAAATGGGAACGGTTTTGCCGCCATTTCCCCCCCCCCTGTTTTTTTAAATGCAGCTCCATGAAGAATTTTCCTCTACTAAGGCTGAATGTATTGAGTTCAGTAAATGAATATTATTGCAAAAAGATCTTGTATATTAGAAACCTTTAAAAAAATCTAAAAAGTTATCAGGAAGAGATATTTGCTGGTTCCAGTAAAGCTGCTTTCATTTCAGCTTCTCCCCTCCTTAAATGAATCATTCCTGTTATATTTCAATTCTTTTAAAATAGCAGGATATATATTTTTAGTTTCCTGGGAGATTTGAAGTTACCCTGAAGAATGTTAAAACAAAGAGGAAACAACAACAACAACAAAAGATTACAAAGTCTTTCATTCTTTCCTGTGACAAATGTAAAACAAAGCAAAAAAGGATTTCTTTCGTGCTTTTTTATGAACAATCTAAAAAAATATTTCTATCACATGTTTGTTAAAAATCTTCAGGTAGGTATCTGAGAACCAGCCATATAAGTAATTGTTTTTGGAATTCTGAATCAAACTTTAAAAGGGGAAAAAATAGTTACATTTGGAGGAGATTGTGGCAGGATGGATATAATATTTGTCTTGAAGCTGTGAATTCTTACTGCATTTCAAAGCAAGTTTCTTCAGAAATCAGGCCTTCAGTTTTCAGTGGGACTTTCTCCTGGAACTGCAGCTATAATAAATTTTAAGATAACTGATCTTGTTGCAAAATGCAAACATATTTTTTTAAAATCCCAAGTAATGTCCGTCATCATCATTATCATCACCATCATCGAATTAGAAATCCTGTGTAGAAATGTATCCTTGTCAACAGTCAGTTCTTTCCCCAACACCAAAACCCAGTTTGCCTCTTTCTTTCTTTCTTTCTTTCTTTCTTTCTTTCTTTCTTTCTTTCTTTCTTTCTTTCTTTCTTTCTTTCTTTCTTTCTTCTGGAAATGGTTTTAACAGGCGGTAAAATTTCATCTTGTGGTGTCAAATTGGGGTCAGTTTGGGGTGAGGGTTCTCAGTGTCCGGGAAGGAGCTGTCCAACTGTGTTGGGATTCATTAAGGGCAAAAGATCCATTTCAAGAAAAACAATACAGAGACAGTCAGTAGGCTAAAGATCCTTTCCAATTTGCTTTTTTCAAGTGTGCTCAGTATCTATATTTTCAAGAGCAAATATAGATACTGAGACCCAGCATCTCTTCAAACTTCCCAACCAGCTTCTTCTTTCTTGGAGGAAAATCAAAGTGTATTTTGAACAACCTGACGTTGCAAAGGATAATAACATCTTGACCATTTGGATGTCTTTTTATTATTTTTGCAAACATGCTCTCTCTTGCAAATGTGACTCGCCCAAGAGGTAACATGATCGATTCTGAAAGTATATATGCATTTTTTAAAATTTCAGATTTGCTCTCTGTGAAGTATCCTGTAAATAGAAAAGGATTTGAAAAAAATAAGCTGGGATGAGATATTAATAAAAATCCATAAATACTGTTTTTTACTGCTATTGAAACAATCTAATAAGTGCTCTCTAGTACCATCAATTTAGGATTTCTAACAGTGTAAAAGTATATGCAACTAATCAAGTTTATTAAATTCGCGTGGCTTAAATCCTCTTAGCTGTTTTTACATCTCTTAGCAGATCCCCACCTCACTAAAAGGACAAATAACTTCAGGCGTAATCTTGTTTGTAACTTTATTCAGTGTTTGTTCACCAGAATGAAGGGATTTTTGTTCCCCTCCTTTTGCTTTTGGGTTAAGCAAATAACATTTGAAGAAATGCCCTTGTTTTTCATAGAAATTATGGCTATATTTATATAATTTATTTTGAAACGTGGCTAAAAATAGATCTTGACAAGGAACAAATCAGATCAAAGGCAGGGATTGTTTAAAAGTTTAGGCACCTCCTAGGTTTTTTTTTTCTGAATATGGAAGGAATTTTCAGTATAATCAGGATGCTGCAGTAGCTTCTTATTTGTGTTTGTTTCTTTTTCTTTCTCTCCAAATTCTAGCTCTAACATGGACCCAAGAACTAGGGATGCTTAGAGATGCCATGGACAAAACCTAGCCCACTTATATTCAATATATATTGAAATTCACATATTTTTGTTTCTGGACTAGATTGGGCTTGATGCTTTCCCTCAGATTTCTGCAAAGGAAGAAATTAAATTCTGGTAGTTAGTTTTTCTCTTTCCCCCTCCCCCCTCCCCGTTGCCCCCTCAGCATCCTCCACTGCAGATAATCAAAGATCATTCTGCTCAGGCAAATAAATATAGAATAAAATATTTAACTTATTTTATGGAGATATTAATATTTATTATCTTTACAGTGAGTCAGTTCCCTACCTATTGAAATGCTACAGGTAGAAAACAGTAGTTCCCCCCCCCCTTTTCCTCCTTTCTCTTTCATTTCCTCACCTTGCGGGTTTATTTTTCCCAGATCTTTTCCTCCCACAAAAGTCAAGCCTTACTCATCAGGTGAACTCTTCCTGACCTCTCTTCCAGGGTTCTGGAGCCCTTTGAAAGCTGGTTTAGGAGGGCCCTCGTTAAATTACTTCTTGGACCCTTTCTTTCCCTTCCCTTTTTCTTCCCTCACTTCCTTTTCTGTTTCAAAATCAACACGAACTCCAGTTTCTTTATTCACTTACAGCCCTCTATTATACTTCCCAAACACTTCTAGGAATTAACATGGCACTTGTGGAGTTGGCTGCCCTCGTTCCTCCCTCCTTTTACTTCTTTATCTCTCCTGTTTCTTCTGTAAAGATCCCACCGAACGGGAGAAGCGATTCAATAAACAGCCCTCTAGCGCTATCTGGCGGGACTCCAACCGTTTCAGCAAACTTTCAGCTTCACCCCAGCGCCTCAAGACGGCTGCTTTCCCCCCCCCCCCATCTTCTTTGTACTGGTAAACGGCTACACAACTGGAAGTCGTTTTGGAAGGTGCTGATGCTCCGCTTGGTTCCAAACCAAGACTTCACTAACCGCAGAATGTCAGAAGATTGGAAACAGCCTTTCGCGGCTTTTTTTTTCTTTTCCTTCCCTTCCCCTTCCCCTCCCCCTCCCTCCCTCCCTCTTCTCTGCCCTTGGATACTGTCTGTTATATCATCTTCATCATCATGGTCGTCGTCATCATCATCACCATCACCACCATCCTCTTATGTGGCTTAACGTTAATTTCTAACGTTCCAAAATCCATCGTAGGATTTTTTTTTTTTTTTTCCCGACGCCCAAAAAATGCACTCACTAAATCCCGTCCCTGTTACCCGTTTAACTTCCAGGCAGCGCCGGACCTTGTGGCGTTTAAGGTGACCCCCATCCGTCACCCCTTCCTCCCCGCTTTGCTTCTCCTCGGGTTGAGGGCACGGGGGGGGGCGGGGAGGGGGACGCCCGCCCTTTGTATGCTAGGTCTGGAGGATCTGGAGGATCCCAGCGCAATTTCGTTTTCCGAAGTCCGGCCCTTGGAGCGGAAAGGAAGAAGAACCATTTCTCAAACGCAAAAGGAGCCCAGGACAAACTAATACGGCAGAAGGGCTGCTTGGTTCATTTTAAAAAGCGGTTCGGTGTCAGGGAACACTTAGATTTCTTTGAACCCGACGACATCCTAGCGCTCCCAAACTGTCTGCCCCAAAGGACTGGACAATATTAGGATGCCTTTTCTCCCTTGGATCTAATGGATCTCAGCTAGTTTTGCATATTTTCTGGGCAGGAAAATCTGTTCCATTCCATGGGTTTCCCTTCGGAAAAGAGCCACCTAGGCTCGCGCGTCAAAGGAGTGGAGGATCGTGCCGGATTCCGTCTCCTATAGACTCCTTTGGCAACCCTGCCCAAGGCCCATCCCAAAGGAAGCCCCATTTGGGGGAGACGAAATATCTGAACTGGGCCGGCCAATTTCAGTTCGGGAAAAGCAAGTTGGCTCCGGAAACTTGGTTTCAGAAATACCCGGCCAGTTTATGTAGAGAAAAAAAAAGGGAGAAAAAATTTAAAAAGGGGAGAGAAGACAGAGAATGAGAGTGAGAGGGAGAGAGAGAGAGAGAGAGATACAGGGAGAGATACGCTTAGTGTCCGGCCCTGTCCAGCTCTTTCTCTCTCCAGCACTCGGGTCGCCTGACTGCACTTTTCATTTTCTTTTTAATGAATCTCCCCCTCGATGCCCTGCACGGAGAAAGTAATCCTGCTGATTTTGTGCTACTTGCAAAAAGGCCTTTTGGTGACGGCCCTGCCGAGGCTAAGCTCTGCCGTAATTAATTGAAAACAGTTATTAGGTCGTCATTGGCAATAGCGTAAATAATTACGATAGGTTTTTACTTAAAACTGACCGGTCACCGGGGGGTGGGGGGGGGCGGGGAGAGAGAAGAAGAGAGGGAGGAATCGATTGGAGGTATAAAAATGATGGCTCAAAACGTCAATGCCGATTATTTGAAATAGTGTAGTCGAATCTTTTTTTTTTTATTAT